GAGGAAAAAAGTTTTCTTACATAAACAGGGAGCAGCAGCCAATAAAAATAACAGCGAGGCGGCTCGATGATTAAACGACTTGGTTGGTTTCCTTTTTTGCGTGGCACCTCATTGTTCCGGCCAGTTCGCGGAACCGTGCCAGACTTCAAACGAACCAGAGGCGCCGCCATTTTTGAGTTTATCAAACAATAACACTCGGCGAAGTAGCTTTCAACCCTCGTCGAACCTGGTCCACGAGTCGTTTCTATTTCCTCTTTCCTTTCTTTCTTCCCTTCCCCTTCCTCTTCTCACCCACTCCATCATCGTGCACGGTGTTGCGAATCCTCTGTCTTAGAATTCTTCATTCGTACAAAGAGTTTGCACTACTTTTTCCCTCGATGATGAAACAATCGATGAAACAATTGTTCCTCGAGAAATTTTCTATAAATATGGAATTTTTCTTTTTTCTTTTTTTGAAGATTTCATGTTGAAACTTGATTTATTAATAATACAACAAGGGGAAGCGAACGTTGAGTATTCTTCGAGGATAGGCTATTTGATTCGAGGGTAAAAAATTCGAGCGTTGCTTTCGACGATTATTTTATTATTTTTTTTCTTTTTATCGTAAGATCACTTTTTCAAATAACATCTACTTGCGAAAAAATGTATTTTTAGTCAGTGTTCAACGTATACGGATATCATATACGGAGCGTTCTCGGTTTAAAATAAAATATGGAATTTAGGAGGGAATATTTTTTCCTTCCCTCCCCCCGGGAATATTCTCGCAAATTTTTAATATCATCCAACGTTTCAATATTCGCATTATCGATATTAAAACACACGCATCTCCGTTACATTACCAAGAGCAATTAACATAGACGATATTAAATATATTTCGCATTTTTTAATTATGATCGACAATTTCGGGCGAACGGAACGCGGAAATAAAATCAAACCGAATTTGCATTAACATGTAAATGGCTCCTCGTTTGTAATACGATATATATATATATATATGTACACGCGACGATCTCGTCGAAGAAATATCGATTTTTCGTTGATTACAACGAAGCTGGGAACGTTAACCAAATTTCGATCGAGAGAATCGCGAAATTGAAGTACCTCGAGCAAACAACTAAAGACCCAACGCTTTTCAATTATTAAACAACTATTCCACGATAAACTGTGTATCGCAATTACCATAAATTGCCAACAAAACTCAACCTAAAAATTCCAACTTCACCTGTTACCACGTCTAAACCCGAATACAACTTTTCCCCTCGCGATATTCGCAAATTTCGAGGAAATTTCAATTTACAAAGAAAGAGAGAGAGAGAGAGAGAAAGAGAGCGCGAATTTTTCATAAAATTCGAAACAAAGGATTTTTCCATTTTTCATCGACGTGCAAAGGAAATCGCGGCGTAGTGGGGGAGGGAAAACGACGTTTCGTCTTTTCTTCTCTAAACCGCGAAACACCGGCCACACGTGCGCTTTGTCCGATTTTCAGACGAAAGTAGAAGGGGAGGAATCCCTCAAAGGCGAAACCTTTTCGTTTCCCGTACGCGAAACGTGCTGCTAACTCGAATACGATAGAAACGAATCACGTGGCCGTCTCAGCTGACACCGATGATTGCAGACACGTGAGCAGAAGCCCCGATTCCGACTTGAACCAACGGGTATCCCTCTCTTTCGCCCTGTCTGTTTCGAGAAATGCCCTCCCCTCTCGGACTGGATCAATCCCCAAGAGACGTTATTGCTTCAGATTCCCCTTTCTTTTCGATTTCTTCGATCGATATACCCTTCATTGGTTACTTTTCAACGACGACGATGATTATGAGATTATTCTTTTCTTATAAGACAAGTGTTTAGAGAAGAGAAGGCGAAACGTCGTCTTCCCCCACTACGCCGCGATTTTCTTTGCACGTCGATGTTATTTATGGAACGAGATTACGTTTAAAAAATCTAAATCTAAAAATCAGGGATAAAGAAGAATATCTCTCGTGAAAATTCGATAATAAAGCCGCTGAAATGTTGAAATTCGTCCACAAAGAGTTGAATTGTAAGAAAGATGTTACAACGTATGGTTTTATCAGTGAAATTTTCTCGATTGAATTACGAATTTGTCAATAAAAAAAAATGTTATTCTCGATCGTAAGGAAATCTCTCTCTCTCTCTCTTTCTCTCTTTTGGAAGATTCTCTATTTTCTCCAACAAATTTTCTTTCATTCGGCCCTTTCATCGGGGAAATCGGTAATGGCGCACGTCAGTCCCTCTTAAATATTCTCGAGCTGTTGTCGAACTGTATCGACGTTTATTCCACAAGCGGTTACAAGCGGCCCTCGATTTCCATAAAACAATTTCCGCAACTGCACTTTCGAGTAGACGTAGAAATTCTCGTGTCGCGTTACGTCACGCGAATACGCGATAAAGCCACGCATCCGAGACGAGACGTGTGTATGCAACGTTGGAATAAGCTTGTTCCACGAAAAGAACATTAATCGATCGATATAGAAATAAAAGAGGAAGACGAAGAAGAAAGAGGAAGAGAAATAATAATAATGAAGAAAACTCCACCTCGATGGATACGTTTTTATTTTGAATTACGATTCCTTCGAGGATTAACCTCGAAGTTTATCACGACGACGTGTGAGATGGATAGGAAGAATTATAAATTTCACTCGCAATAATTACACTATTTCCCTTTATTAATGAATGTGATAAAATTAACTAAGTTAAGATGCAATCGCACTAATGTCTATCAGGCAGAAGTTACAATTCAAATCTGACTCTCTTAAAAATATCTCTCTAGAATGGATTAGGAAGAATTCAAAATTCAAGATTTTGTAATTTTTTGAAAAGAAAAAAAAAAAAAAAACTATTATCGAATCGTTAAAAAACAAATTCTTCGGTCCAAAAAGAGGGCGAGACGAAATTTTCAAAGACACCCAGACCTACCTAGAAAATTTCCAAGCTCTAGCGAATTCTATCCTTGCATTTGAAAAGTAGAATTTCAATCTCCTCCTTCGAATGAATATTCAAAGACCTGGCAAAGCGAATCTATTCCCTTTTCCTTTCCCTATATACACGTATACATTCTTTTATTTAACTCTTCCACGAATATGAAAATATTTCGAGAGAGAGAGAGAGAGAAAAAAAAGAAGAAGGAAAAAAGAAAAAAAATCGCACACCCCTTCGAGCCAAGCCTGACTGCCGATTAATTACAGTTCGATGATTAATCAAACTGCGTTGTTCGCAAGTCGCATCGACGAGATTTACAATATTTATTCGTGGCTCGTCACGAGGCGGCGAGGCGCATCAATCGCACGAGGGGAGGGGAGGGGAGGG